GCTGTACCACTTAGAAGAATGTTCCTCCAAAATATAATAACAATCAACTTCAAATACAAAGGCCCTCCCTGAAGTCTTGTTGACTCTAAACAAGAGGCAAAAATAAAAAACAAACAATATAGTATGTAACTTTTATGTGCCATTGAGTAACTTGCTATGTATAGTGACCCTATGTACAGCAGCTCTGAACTGTCCTGAGCCAGTATCACTAATTCTGACACATCAACCCCATTGCCCCAGATGCTATATCAATCCATCTCATCCAGGGTCTTCCTCTCCTGTGCTGTCCTCTCCACCCTTCTGAGCAGGATGTTTTTCTCCAAGGACCAGTCTCTCCTGACCACAAGCCCAAAGTATGTGAGACAGAACTTCAAAATCCGAGCCTCCAAGGAGAGATTGGTTTCACCTTCTCCAAAACAGACCCATTTGTTTTCTTAGCAGTCTATGATACGTCCAAGACTCTTCTCCAGCACCACAACTCGAAGGGATCTATTCTTCTTCTGCCATTGTTAGTCATTGTCCAGTTCTCTGAAGCATAACAAGTAGTTGAGAAGACCATGGCCTGGATTAGGCACACCTTTGTTCTAGATAGATACTGTTGCTCTTCAGCACTCTGGAGAGGTCCATGAGAGCAGATTTTCCCAATGCAATTCATCTTTTGATTTCCTGACTGCTGGTGCCGAGAGTGTTGACTGTGGAAGCAAAGCAAGCTGTAGTTGCTAACAACCTCATTCTTTTCTCTTCCTATCATGGTGCTTCCAATTGGCCCAGTATTGAGAATCTTTGTCTTCTTGATGTTGAGCTTCAATCCATCTTGAAGACTAAAGTCCTTGACCTTCTGCAGAAAGTGCTTTAGGTCTTTTTCAGTTTCAGCAAGCAAGGTTGTGCCATCTTCATATCATAGGTTGTTGATGAGTCTTCCTCCAATCTTGATGTCACACTCCTCCTCATAAAGCCCTGCTTCCCAAATGATCTGTTCTGCATCCAGATTGAAAAGTCATGGGGACAGGATGCAATCCCTACTCACTCCTTTCTTATTTTGAACCACGCAGTGTTTCCTTGCTCTGTTCTGATGATTGCTTCCTGGTCCAAATATAAGTTTCACATAAGCACAATCAAGAGTTCTGGGATTCCCCTTTTCCTCAAGGTTAGCCACAATTTGTTGCGATCCACACAGTCAAATGCCTTTGCATAGTCAATGAAACACAGATAGATATTCTTCTGGTATTCTCTGCTGTCTGCCAAAATCCGTCTGACACTGGCAATAATGTTTTTACCTACAATTTTAATCAATCAAAAAGTTAAAAGAAATATTTTTCCCCTTTAGAACCATCTGGTGAATGTGACAGACAATCCAGTTGAGCATTGCTAGTTCTGCTTAAAAACTTGCCTCTGAATACTTATTACAGATCCAACATTATCACATTTAAGACACTGGTCATCTAGTCTCAGTTCCCTTTGAGAATGCAGTTCTCATTCAGTTCCCTTTTACAGGCCATAGTAATTTAGGGAGAGAATGATATTGGCAACATAATTTTTTCCCCTTTAAATATTTTACAGAACTGTGAAACATTAATGTTTGGAGAAACAGACAAAAACATCTCAGATTAAAAGAGTGTATTCTGTTCATATCTCTCTTTTGTGTTTGTTGTTGGCTGAATTGCAAACTGTGCTTCTGCTTTTAAAAAAAGAAAGAGAAAACGATAATTGAAGCTGCTCACTTCTCTCTGGGAAGTGCTTATAAAAAGAAAAGTACATAAATAATGAGAATGGAAAAACGCTGAGTTTATCAATCCTTGAAACCAAAAAGACATAAATGAATTTCTCTCTTTATCGTATTGCTTCATACTAAGCAATCTCAATCCTCCTCATAAGTTTTTTTTTCATAAGATATGATGTCCAAGTCCTCATTTTCACCCCTGACTCATAGCGTAGTCACTAGTAACCAGAGTTAAACACGATATTCGTGTTGATCAGAGCGGAGATTTCTCTCTTCCTTACTCTATATTTATAATAGATGCTTCCCCCCAGTAACCATTGTGAAATCAGGGGACCCATGCTCTACAGGGCAACTGATTATGAAATACTAAGAGTAGAACTCTTCATTGACTTCCTCTAGTTCTACCCTTTAGATCTGACCTTTTGATCTATCTTATTCATCCATTTCTTCTAGATCTACCTTTTGATTTAACCTTTTGATCTATCTTTGGGGCCATTTTAAATCTTGTCTCTTTCAGATAGTGAAATCATTAAGTTCCTTGACACTGTTGTTCTTGTTTACTGTTGAGGTAGACCCTATCTATGTACAGCAGCTCTGAACCCTTACCTGTCCTGAGCCAAGTAAGATGAGGTAAGTAATTATGCTGGCTCTGAAAAGACGAGTAGACTCTATCTTTTAAGGCTTGTGTGAGGGGATTATGTGAGAAAAAGCTCAAAGTTCAGTAGTAACACTACCATCAATAAAATTATTACTACTATAAAACAAAGATATAACTTTAAAGATTAAAAATGTACCTGACTGAAGCCATGATATTTTCAGTGGACTCATGTACACATGAAAGAAGGACAATGAATTAGGAAGACAGAAGGAAAACAGATGTCTTTGAATTACACTGTTTGTGAAGAATATTGAACATACCGTGGATTGCTAGTAAAAGAAAGAAATCTGTGTTGGGAGAAGTGTAGCTTAGCGTTAGAAGTGCAGATATCACATACTTTGGACACATTATCAGGAAGGATAAATTCCTTGGGTTTGGTCCCCAGGAAGAACTAGTACTTATTAGAGGGGTAACAAGCAAGAGGAAGACCCTCAATGAAGTGACACAAGGACTACAACAATGTGCCCAAACTTAACAAAAATTGGACAATGGTACAGTTTCAGACCTTTCATTCTATTATACAGAAGGTCACTATGAATCAGAACTGAGTTGATGGTGCTTCATAACAACTAACAAGAATTCATGCAAATGTTGATTACAAATGGAATGCTGATACGATAAGGGAAGTGAGGCCAGTAATAAGGCCTCCTATTTATTTATTTTTTTTTCTATAATTATATTTTATTAATTTTCATAAACATTTAAAAACTCACTGGAGACCAGTTTGAAAGTCATCTATAGGAGCACTAGGGTGGAATGTTGATTCCCTAAGGGAAGTGAGGCCATGTGATAAGGCCTCCTATTTAAAAACCCATTTGGGCTTTGGGCCTGCGGCCCTCAGGCCTGATTTAGATTGGTATTTTGTCAAACATCCTTCTAGGTGGTATAGCACTTGTCTGTGCATTGCTGTACAGAGGTAACTCATGATTGCTGTGATGCTAAACACTGTGACACTGATGTGCCAAATGTGATAATGGTTACCCAACGTGGACAGAGTTTGGTGGAGCTTCCTGATTAAAACAAGCTTGGAAGCAGGAGTGGCATCCACTTCCGAAATGGCTTGCCTCCAGAAACTCTATGGACAGTGCTCAGGTCTTTCGTTCATAGGGTCACTATGAGTTATCTATGACTCAGGCACTTAACAACAACAACAATTCTTTCCAAATGTCTCCTATGTTTCAAGCATCAGGGAGAGTACTTTTTATGTGCCTTACTTAAACTACACAAATTTGTTCTTCATACCTATTGCAAGGCGTAATAAGTTCCAACTTGTGGTGGACCCTGCACACAACTGGACAAAAACCTGTGCCATCATCAAAATCGCAGCCGTGTTTCAGCCCTTTTTTCCCCCCAAACACTGTGTGCATTCATCTTGTTGAGGGTCTTCCTCACTTCCACTGACCCTCTGATTTTCTAAGCATGATGTCCTTTTCCAAGGGCCTGGCTTCTCCTGATAATAGGCCCAAAGTATGTGAGACGAAAACTTGCCATTCTTGCTTCGAAGCAGCATTCAGGCTGTATCACATTCAAGCAAGATTTGTTGGTTTGTTTTTTTTTTTCGGCAGCCCGTGAATGATATATATTCAATATTTTCCACCAATACCACAATTTAACAGCATTAATTATTTCTGGTATTCATTATTCATTGTCCAACTTTCATATCCATATGAGGTGATTAAAAAATGCCTAGGCTTAGGTCAAGTCCATATTAGTCCTCAAATGGCATCCTTACTCTTTAGCTCTTTAAAGGGGATCTGTGCAGCAGGTTTTCCCTGTGCGATCTGTTGTTTGATTTCTTGATTGCTGCTCTTTCATGGTTAGGAAGGTTGTCCTTGAAGAAACCAAGCCTCAGAGAGGTAAGTAGTTTGTCCAAGTCTCCTCAAACATGAGTAGCCAGACCCGCCTTTGAACTTGTCTGCTGGCTTTTAGAGCTATGTCAATGACAGATGGGGTCCCTTAGAGGAAGAGTGACCTTGATGGTTTGCCTGAGGGAACCATCATGGCAGGTGAGGCAGAGAGAGATGAACTCATTTCTAACCTATATACAGCAGATACGGGAAGTCTGCTTTGCTCAGGGACAGTCTGAAAGTGGGGAAGGTTATGATCTGACTTGGGTCTAGGGTTAGCCTTTCAGCTTCAGGGAGAACAGAAGACAGAAACAGGGCTCCACGGACCAGACTGGAGGCATAGAGACTATCTGAATAGCTGAGGTCAGAGCTGATGGGGTCTGGGCTCCAGTGGAGTTGGAGAATGAATGATGGGGTAGTGCTAGAAAGACGTGATGACTGAGAAACAGAAAGGTAGAAAGTGGTGCTGGCTCTTTCCTGAGGCAAGGAAGAGAGGGAGCAGTGAATGAGGCCAGCTATGCTGATAGACAATCATGTCTCATGACTTGGATCTACCATTTAGCCACTGTGTGACTCCAGGCAGGTAACTAGTCCTCTCTGATCACCTGTCAGGTTGGGCCTCCTCCGTCTGCCTGTGAAGACTTTGGCCCAGTGCCCATGCCTGGTCCTTGAAAATAATAACTGCCACCCCTTAGTTAGCCAATTTCCTTCTCTATCATCTCTGAACCATCTTCCAGGGCTTGGACTGACCCTGCACAACATCTGTGTGACTTACTTTAAAACCTTCTTTTTGGTAGCTCTGTGAGATACAGTCCAGGACACCTTTGTATTTGCTGAAATAAACTCCATCAGCCTGGAGTCGACTCTTTACAACATCCATAGGTGTTGCTGTCCCCCAAGAAATTGCTCCTGTAATAAAAAGAAGAGAGAGAGAAGCATGTGTCATAGGCTCAGCTCAGGATTAGCAGCTGGGAAAGGATGGAGCTTAACTTTCCTCTGTCACTTGCTGTTGGACTTGCCTAAGTCTCTTGCCTCCTCAAAACTCTGGGCTCCTGACTTGTACAATAATGAACAACTCATTGCTGTAGAGTCAAAACTGTGACCTTCTAGTGGGTTTTCAGAGGCTATAAATTGCATGCAAGGATATTGTCCTTCCTTCTCTCTGATAAGCTCCTATGGGGTGTAATTCCCTACTGTGAGGAACAAATGAAAGATGCACAAAGCCAATTAGCAAACAACTACAGCTCAATTAATGGCAGATTTGAGAAGCAGTTTTCACTGGTGAAACAGTAAGAAGCCCCACAAATCCTCTGTAGTACCATTCCTGGCACCAGGAAAGAGAGCTCAGGGTGAGGCCTGGGGCCTGAGGTTAACGGCTCTTCAGAGGCAGGATTTACCCTGAACACTCAAAAAAGCTAAGTAGACACAGATAGGCTGTTTGCCAAGCACAGGCCAGCCTAGACTGTAAAAAGAGCTGAGGGTAGGTCTTTGAACCTTTCCAAATACGTGAGAGGGAAGCCTTAGGAGCCTGTGCCACCGGGTCACCCTCACAGGACAAGCACAGGTGTCCTAGTGTGGAAATGTCTGTAGTTTTAATAGTCTCTAGGAAAACAGTATGGGTTATTGTGTAAACACAGAAATTGGCACATTCTTAGGTGGAGAGAACAAAAACAAACCGATGCCAAAGTCCAGGGCAGTTGGTTTTTTGAGTTTTGTAATTCCTGTCCAGGGGTTCCCATGGAAGACCTCCACCTGCCCTGGGCCCTCTGTCCATCACTACCTCTGCCCTTTGGACTCCTGCCCCTCAGGCTCCTAATGGGAGCTCCTCTGGACCTCGGTGCCCTTGTCTGCAGTGTAATAGACCACTTCCACAGGAGCTGGTCTGGCTGCTGCCCTGACCCCCAGCCCATAGGGGAGGACATGACAAATGACATCTGCCTGTCTGGCCACTCACACTTCCTCTCAGCAGACATGAGACTGGAGAGTCCACTCAGCCAACATACACTTATGAAGCTCTCCTCATGAATCAAGACCACACAAGCCTGAGAAAGGTGAGGCGGAGAGGGAATTCTGCTGCATGTGATGAAGAGGTGGGCCTTGCTCTGTGTTTGTCATGGATTTAAAGCATAGTTTATGACATGGAGGAGGAAGAAGAGATCTAACCATTTCAATTTTCTTCCTTCTAGTACATCTTTCCCATCAGCATCAAATTTGCAATAGGAACCTACTTAAAAAAAAATAAGCATGTCTTGACTTGTAGCCCCACTTCTAGCTGGAGCTCACCCCTGTTTCCCATCACAGCAAAATTCCACAGACATACACTTGGTATCTCCAATCCCTTTTATCTATTCTTACTTGATTCCATTCCCACTGGATTTCCTCATCCTTGTCTCCACCAAAATGGCATGTGTGGAAGTACCCTGTGGACTCCACATTCTAAATCCAATGGCCTTGCACCTGGGCCTCTCAGCAGGATTTGGCATGGAGCCCTTTCTATTCCTTCACATCCTTTCCTCACCCATCCTCTCCTACTTCCTTCCCGCCCACCTTCCTCCGTCCTTCCCCTCCTACCTCTCTGTCCACTCTCCACTGTGTACTCATTTGTTCCTTTGTGGGGTCTTGTCATCTGCCTTACCTCAAAAGCTGTCTTACCTCTTTAGGACCCCTGTGGGACTCGATTTTTGACCCTTTCTACCTCTCCCTCTCAGGTGGATTGATACGGTGACTGCTGCAATGGGCTCTTGTATGTCAGGAAGTGTGAGGATGGCACAGGATGGTACAAGGTTCAGATCTTTTGTTCATAGTGTCACTATGAGTTGTACTCAACTCAATGGCACTTGATGACAACAACAACAATAATAACAATAACACCTTTTCCTCTAGATGATCATGCTGGCAACTCCCGAGTCTATATTTCCAGCCCAGGCCCCAGTCTTGACTTCCGGGCTCCTACTCCCCACCCCCCAGCTCCCCTCGGTTGTCTGAGCATCATCTTAAATGAATGTGGCTTAAACTCCTTGCTCTCTGGCTTCTCTCTATGTTGTCACATCTCAGTTAATGGAAATGGACTCTTCCAGCTTCTCAAAAATTTGGAAAGTATTCTTGACTCTTTTTTCCCCTTTCAAATTTCACAGATAATCCTTTAGAAAATTCTGCTGATGCTACTTTCAAAATACCTCAACTGTTTTTCACCCTGTCTATAGACAGGTATCTTCTGGGCCGAAGCTCCCAATATCTCTTGGTGAGCTTTATAATAACTTTCTACTTGGGGTTCCTTGTTCACCTAATACTGATTCTCCTCACAGCATCCAGAGTAATCTTTTAACAAACATAAACCCTGAAATTACTCACTGACTAAAGTCCTTCTTTTACATAGAGTGGAAATCACCATCCTTGCAATGGTTTCCAGGTGTTCCATGGCCTCGCTCCCTGTTTCCTCTCTGACCTACTTTTCTACTCCTCCTCTCACAGGCTCTGTTGCAGGTGCACTGGACTCTTTGATGCAACTTGAATACACCAGACACTCCTCACCACAGGGCCTTTGTACATTGCTATTTCTGCTGCTTAGACATTCTTCAGGTTTGTGCACAAATGTTATTTCAGTGAGACTTCCACATAATGAGCAGATGAAGAAATAGATTTCATTTTTATTATGATCTAGATATATTCTCATTGTCATCAAGTCAGAACTGTTAAGTTTTCCAGGTTGTAAACTACACAAGGAGAGATTGCCCATCTTTCTCCCTTGAAGCCACTGGTGAATGAAACTGTCAGAAAGGTGATGTCTCTCTTAGCAGCATAACTTCCTAGAGTGTACGCCACAGAGCTCCCTTGATTATATATATAAGCTTTTTAAATTCTTACATCAATCCTACCACACAGCTAATAACATACTATTCACTTTACTGATGAGAAAACAAATGCACAGGGAGGTTAAGTAGCCAGCCCAACATCACAAAATAAATACATGTGGATCTGAACTTGGATCTTTTCGACTGAAAAACCCTGTCATCCCGTCTTCTTTTAACTGTGTGACTTTAGATCACTTATTTAATCTTTCTAAACATTTATACCTTTTTTTTGCACTAAAAGAGGGACAATTGGTCGCTACCTAATAACAAAATTCTCACAAAGTTTTATTGAAACAGGTATTCCATAAAGGTGAACCATGATAATAGATTTTCAAAGTTCAATAACACCTGGCACAAAAGTAAATGCTCAAAATATATCTACTGACTGAAAGTTGAGTCTGGAAAAGGACTTACTATATCCTGAACTCCAAGAGAAAGGCAGCGGGAGAAGAAGGAGGACCCTTCTTAGTCTTCAACGTGCCTGACAGGGCTGACACACAGTAGGAACTTAACAAAGAACTGCTAACTGAGTACCTGGATAGGTCCTGCTCTCCCCAGGGCTCAGAAGCTATGGCAGGCATCCCAGCTGTCCCACTGCAGTAGCTGGTGTAGCAATGGGGCTCCAGACACTGAGCACTGCTGTGCTTACCTGCCATGCCTCCCGCCAGCCACACAGCATAGGGGCTGGGGCCTGCAGAGGCCTCTGGTGTGATCCATTCATTCAGGAACACGTAGGGGATGAAGTAGAGGCAATAGCCTGGGACGTCCCTCAGCAGCATGGCGCTGGCACCCCGGTACAAGCCCGCCAGGCCCTCATTCCGCACAATGGTTGCCATGCAGTGCACAGGCCCGTGGTATGCTGGCTGCTCCCCTGGAACTTTCAAATGAAGATTGGCTGCAAAGACAGAGGAAAAAGGTATCAAGTGACCCAGGGAGCAAGAGGCTAGCCATTCCCTGGCCCTGGCCCCAGTTTCTGTCATTGATGGTTCTCACTCACGTAGTCCATTGGTTTTTTAGCATCCCCTTGACCTCTTTGGCAACTCATACCATCACTCTGAAATCGGCACAGGGATTCCTTGCCAATAGGCACAGTCAGATTGGAGCAAATCCTTGCCAGGTTGATAACGTACCAGTTGACTTAGGGTGCCTGCTGATTTCTAGCCAACTTTCACTACCATGCTGTAACCATCTCAGAGCAAACGTTGGCATACTGCAGAGGTGTCTTGCACCACACTAAAGCAAGTGTTGTAAAAAAGTGAATCACGCAAATAAAATGTTTCCTAGTGCACGTAAAAGGGAGCCTTGGTGGCTGGCAGAGTAGTCTGTTGGGAGCTGCACTAACCCAAAAGCCACACCTCTCTGGCAGTTCGAATCCACCAGCAGCTCCGTGGAAGAGAGATAGGCAATCTCCTCCTGCGTGATTAAGAGCCTCAGAAACCTCACTGGAGCGTCAGCTATGAGTCAGTTCTGATACAATGGCAATGCATTGAGTTGGGAGTGCATATAAAAGCAGCAGCCTTATGAGATATATATTCCAAGATTACCAAAACATAACACACAGTCCTCTTCTTTATTTTTCCTTCCACCCATTGGCAATGCTTTAACTCATGGACAGAGGTGCTTCCTTGTTCCAGTGCAGAAACAGCAGGCTCTTGTTTTTATGTCTGCTTAGTACAGTACTCTCCTACAGTACTGCTTGGAGGAGTAGTACAGCATGATGTAAAAGATCACCTTCGTTACTTGGCTGGATTTCCAGGCTCCCGAAACAGTCCCATGTGATCAGATGCAAACTTAGTTAGATTGAAGCACCAGCTCCATGACTCCATGAAGTCCCAACTGAAGATTTGGCCATAAAGTGCGACCTGTACTTTCACCCATCCCAGAAAGTAGGAGAGGTCCAGGGTAGGGTTTCTATTTGCCCAGGAAGTGCATCTGAACAAACGCCTCTCTCACGTGGCAGTGTGTGTGGGTCAAACCGTTGACCTTTTGGTTAGAAATTGAATGCTTAACCACCAGTGCAAGGAAAAGAGAACAAATCACAGTCACCCATGCTGGATCAAGCACTGCACTGCAGGAGGCTGGGTGTCAGTCACTTCTTCCTCAGTGTGTCCCAGGTCATGTGCTGGTGTGGTGGTCATTTCTCTGAATTCAGCATAAGATCACACTCTATGCCTATAAGCCCACTAGGAGGTGAGCAAGCACCCCATTCTCTCCCAAGCCTTTAACCACTCTGGTCATACATGTTAATGCATTATTTATTAAGCACAATTTGGGTCGTCCTGGGAAGTGATTCTGCCATTGGCCATAATAAATGTCATTATCTCCATCTGTACACTTGGCCTGCGACACATTCACATCTAGGGAACAATGACCTGCCATAAGAGTCACGGATTTCATGAATCAGCTCTGGGGATGGTGAGGCTTTCGAGAGTGACAGATTGAGGGGGAGTTTCCTGATAAAGCCTTACTTGTCTGGATGCGCAGATCTTAGAGAAACACCTGCCACACTTCAAACTGGCCTTGTCACCAAACCAAGAATATACTGTACTTGTTTCCTCCCATGGCATGCAATAAGGAAATTCTCCCTCTTTCTACCAGGTCAGTAACATAACAGTTTAGGGGGGTTTTATTGCTGGGGAATTGTCCATTTATTACAACGCAGGCAATATAATTGTCAGAATGACTACTATCACCAAATGCACTGACATCCTCTGGAAAGGGCATGAAAGCCTTCTTCTAGACCTTAATTTATAGAGTGAAGAGCTTTGAACTTTCAGCCCCAATACACTTACAAATTATTTTTCTTGAAAATAATTTCAAATTTGAAAAAAAAAATGGCAGAAAAAAAAGAGAACATTGTAAATCCTTGCCCCAGACACACTTACTGTTAGTATTGAACCCCGTTTTACTTTCCTGTGTGTTCTCACTTCCCCCAGCCTCTTCCTTCTCATCAGTTATATGTGTAACATAGAATTGACTGAGCAGATCTGCCCTTCAACCTGCCGGTAACAGTGACACGCTTCAGGAGGTAAGGTTTTTTTTTTTGGTTTTTTTTATTTTATTATTTGTATTTGTGCTTGTACCGTCAAATCAGATCTGACTGGTACAGGAGGAGATTGTCCCTCCTTCCCCCCTTCCCCGGCAGAGCATCTGGTGGATTCGAACCAAGGAGGTAAGGTTTTCATGAATCACCTGAGGGTAGGAATTAGTGAAGGTTTTCAGGAATTACTAATGGAAAGAATGTGTTCCAATAAAATTCTGCTTGTTGGATTGTGCAGATGGTGGAGAAACACTTGCCAAACCTTGAGCTAGTCTTCTTAAAGACAAGACCTGAACAAGCACGAAATCTGTGTATGTACGCTGATGTACGGTGGGGTTCCAGGGCAATGACACCGTTATCAGCTCTTATATAAGTTGAATACCTCAATTTTTTAAAATGTTTTCATTATTATTGTTTTTATTATAAATGTCTTCATAAATATGATCCGTATGTGCCTTTAGGGGCAAGGATGACAGTGATAACACGAGCAAATGATATGCTGCAACACTGTACGTAGTATACCATATTATAATGATAAGATGTACAGAGTGGATTATATTTGGGGTTG